AGAGAGAGAGAGAGAGAGAGAGAGAGAGAGAGAGAGAGAGAGAGAGAATTTTATGGAAGTCCATCTATGAAGATATTGTCTTAGACTAGGCTGGCCTCAAACTCAGAGATCTGCCTGCCTCTGCTTCCCATGTGCTGGGATTAAAGGTGTGTGCACCACCAACGCCCAGAGATTTTCTGTCTTTTCAGAAGTTAGTGTTTTGAAACGTTACCTTATTCTAGAACATAACCCATTTCAGTGAAGTGTTCTTCTAGAGTTGATCCAAGTGATCTTCAGGTTTTAGTTCTTAGTAGTTGTGTAAGAAAAAATGGGCATCCTGTGACCAGCACCACAGAGGAAGCCATGACCGGCCTGGGTAATCTATTGACATGTGCCCCACGGGGAGGAGATCGCATCTGTGTCCCGCTGACCCACAGCCTCCTCTTCTCCCACAGTTGGAGGCTGTGACCCTCCAGGACGTCCGCGGCAGAGTCCTCCAGAATGCTGTGCGGGTGTGGAGCAACATCCCAGGGTTGAAGAGGTATTTCTCAGGGCGGAGGGCCAAAGACTCAGAGACAGAGGAAACCGTGCACTCTGGTAGAGCCAGGCCTAAACGGTCCCATACTCCGCCTAGCTGTGCCTGAGCAACCTCTTATCCACCACAACCCTGGTCACACTGGGGCTCAGGGTGCCCCTGCACACTGAGGGACTCTCCCTATGTTCACCCAATACCTCAGAACTGGACAAGAGTTTCCTCATCCTCAGGAGAAAGTCCAGCCTCTCGAAGCTCCTGCCCAACACACGCTCGTGCGCATACCACACACTCATTCTTAAAGACTGACGCAACTCCCTAACAGATTCACACACCCACGCACAGACACCCACTTGCTCACAGATGCATGTAGATCAAGCCAGTTTGAACCGTGTCTTCTGAGACCGCGAAGTCGTGTCTTTTCCTGCCCTATAGTGAGTTTCTGGAAACTTCCCACCCACCTCCTTCATCCCAGCATTCTCCTGGCTCCCAGTCTCTATGCCAGTCAGGTACCACCCGGTTTCCCTACCTGGATGCTTTCAGAACTTGGGTTGAAGTGGGGCTGAGGGGACATACTTTCCCAGACATTCTTTCTGGATGTTTCTAAGTAAGGTATGGGCTCCTGCCTGGCATCCTTTTCTGATTGGTACTGTGGGATAGGCAGGAGAGGGACAGAGAATGGGCTGAGCAATTGGCAAAAGATGCCAGGCTCTACTCCTATTAGCTGTGGGCCTATCAGGCATGCCACACACAGGTCTTCTATTCCCTAACAAGCATGCTTTAGAAGGAATCACGTATGGTCCAGTCAGTCCTAGTACATGCGGCTGCCTGAGAGGTACTTGCCCCTCTTGAGCTGCCCCACTGTGGGGTCCTGCCAGACCTGTACCATGGAGGGACAGTTTCTCTCCTCCTGGGCCTCAGCCCCACCTCTTTTCTCATTGAGGTACTTCCTTTCTGATTTAGAGCCCCCAAAGGAAGTTGAGGGCTGGGCGTACCTGCACCTAATACCTAGGGTCACTTGACTCCTGGAGGAAACAGGGTGGCTTCGCAGTGAGGTAAAGGACTCTTGGCCCACTGAAGTAGGAATTAGCTTGCCAAGTTCACAGACAGTTCATGTAATATCTGCACATGAAGACAGGGGAGAAAATAGAGGACATGCCTTCTGACATGTCACTCACTGTCTTTGTCTGTCCCCCAAAATGGAGATGGTCCTTAACTGCCCCAGGGCTTGGGCACACAGAAAGGTGATGCTAAGTGTCATATTTGGGGGGACTCCAGGATGAGGCTCACATAATTTAGGAGCCCCCGGGGCACCCCGGGGCATGGGCTTAGCACTGTGTAAGCTGGGTTTGTGGTGTCAGGCATCCCAGGAACAGTATGTGCGCACACTTTAGGGTCTTACTGATCTTTACCCTTGCTCTGTGGGCATCCCTGCCAGGGAGGCTCACATCAACTTTTGGCAGCTTCTCGGCTCCCTCTGCACACCAAAAAGGGGATATGCTGGACTGGCTCAAAGATCAAAGGTCTCAGCTGGGGTGTAATGGGAAGTGGGACACATGCTTTTTTTTTTTTTTTCTTTTCCTTTTGGTTTTTCAAGATATGGTTTCTCTGTGTAACAGCCCTGCCTGTCTTGGAACTCACTCTGTAGACCAGGCTGTCCTTGAACTCACAGAAATCCACCTGCCTCTGCCTCACAAGTGCTGGGATAAAGGTATGCACCACCACCGCCTGGCTCATGCCTTTGTTTTTCAATCCCAGCAGAAGCAGGCAGATTTCACTGTTTCCAGGCCAGCCTGGTCTACATAGTAAGTTCCCTGCCAGCCAGGGCCACATAATGAGATACTGTCTTCGGGCGGGGGTTGCTCTTTGGGCACCCTGCTTGTTCCTAATCTATCCAGAGGCAGCAAGGCCTGAGGGCACTCACCCTAGAGGCCACAGGCAACCTTATAGGGACCTCAAGTTCCCTCCCAGCCCAGTGTTGTATTTCTAACAGGTGACTTTCCTTGGTAGCAAACACTCGGCCCTAACACCTAAGGAGGAGCAGTCCCTGGAAACCCAGACCAGAACCAGAGGCAAGATGGCTGCCCAGAAAGTTGACCGCCTGGTGAAGACCTGCCTTCTCCCCCTGAGAGAATATTTCAAGTATTTTTCTCAGAACCCACTTCCTCTTTACAAATGAATCATGATACAATGAAAGAAGAGGTTTTCCTAGAACCACAGCCGCCTTCCTCCGGTGGCCTTTTCCCTCGCCAAGGTTTTCTTCCGTTTGCTTGCTTGCCTTTGGGGTTTTCCTGTTTGGTTCCCAAGATGCCATGCCTCCCATGCAGCTCACTGTGTGGGTGGGAGGCGTCCACGTATGCGGACAAGATCCTGATGGGGATAGCCCACTATGCATCTCCAAAAGTGTGTGTGTGTGTATACCTCTTGTGAAGTTTTTCAAATATATTAAAGGTTTTGGTAGAGTTTTGGTGGGGTGTGTGCGTGAGGTGTTTATTCTGTACGTCACAGGGATGACAATACATGCCCGATGTCCTGCCCTGGGCATATAGTACCTTCATCACCTGATATTTGCCTTGATGGCCGAGCTCGCTCCCCCTCCTGTTGCTACACAAAGCAGTCTAAACCACTGCCGAAGCTCACCCCTGACGAGCAGACACGTGATTTCTGTGTTGTCCTGACACAGTAGGAGCTTGCAGAAGTGGGCTCCCAACTGCTCTTAGCAGTCGGTGTTCCACGGAAGCTGAATCCACTGGGAATTGCGGACTGGTCAGTTTTGAAATGCCTGGTGAATTATCCTGATTAGCCATAACCATTCCTACACACACACCGGATGGAGACTCAAACTGCATGAGTACCATAACTGAGGCTCAGGACCTACTGTGGCCCGAGCTGGCATTGTCAGTGCCCTGGCCAGTGTTCTCTGACAGGAAACTGGGCCACTGTGTGACCCTGAAATAGGAGAGGAGCTGTCTTGGGTCAGTGTCTCAAGCAGTTATGGGGCCACAAAGGTGGTTCAGTTCAGTGGGTACAGATGCTTGCTCCCGAGCCTAATGACATGCATTTGATTTTTCTCAGAACCCACTGCTGTGAGTCCTCTGTGGCATGTGTGTATGGTAGCACATGTTACAGGAATTCCTGTGTAGGCCAGGGGGCTACCCTCCCAGTGGACTCAGGAGGCAGCAGGAGCAAAAAGCATGAATCCGTGGCCCCCACTGGCCAGATGATGTGGCAAGATCTCGAAACAGTGGCAACTGCTGCCACCCAAGGTTGCAATACCATGGATCCCCATAAATGAATGCTACTTTCTCTTCTTATCCTTTCTTTTAAAAAAGCAAGACAGGTGGTGGTGGAGCCCACCTTTAATCCCAGTACTCTGGAGGCAGAGGCAGGCATATCTCAGTGAGTTTGAGGCCAGCCTGGTCTACCAAGCAAGTTCCAGGACAGTCAGCCAGCCAGGACTGTTACACAGAGAAACCACATGTCAAAAACAACAAAGCAAAATAGTTGGGTAGTGGTGGCACACACCTTTAATCCCAGCACTTGGGAGGCAGAGACAGGCGATCTTCGAGTTCGAGGCTAGCCTGGTCTGCAGAGTGAGTTTCAGGATGGTCAAAACCGCTAGGAGAAAAGTTGTCTCAGAAACACTTGTTCATTTTATGTGTAGGAGTAATGTATGCATGTGCCACAGCGCTGGTCAGAAAACGGCTTGTGGGAGTCTGCTTCCTCCTCTCACCACGTAGGCTCCTAGGGATCAAATTCAGGTTGTCAGGTTTGGATAACAAGCACCCTTATCTGCTGAGCAATCTCACTGTTTCTGGTTTGTTTTTCTGAGAAAGGGTCTTATATAACTCAGGCTAGCCTCAAACACTTACATAACCTACCTCCCAAATATTAAGATTACAGGCATACATCACTATGCCTGGCCAGTGTCCACTTTCTGTCAGTCAGCCTCCAAGAAGGGACCAGAGCCACCAGTGTGCATCTTTCTACTATCCACTATCCACACGCAGGCGCGCGCGTGCACACACAAACACACACACATACATACATACACACACACACAGTAGCATGGTCCAAATTAAGAGATTCTCCCACTACATATTCTAACCATGCTCAAGATCCCTTGTGGTCAGATGAACAGTGACCCTCACAACATACCCGTCCAGTGACTTTTGAGGCCTGTGTATGTCTGTCACCTAATGTGCCCCAAAGGACTTCACTGATACAAGCTCTGCTGGCCCACCCAGTGTTCCTGCATGTGTCACAGACTCTTAAGGTAGGAAATGACTGTACCAATGGACATCTGTGCAGCCACAGAGGTTGGAACTGAAGGGAGCCTCTGCCAAAGGATACCTGAAGCCATCAGGAGCTGGAGCCAATAGGGGTCTCTCCTTATAAGGCAGAGCTGTTTTTAATCTTTTAACATACGTGCATGAATACTTTGCATGTGTGCCTGTGTACCATTAGTGGCCCTAGTGCCACAGAGACCAGAAGAGGGCGCTGAATCCTCTAAAACTGGAGCTATAGATGGTTGTGAACCTCCACGTGGGTGCTGAGAACCAAACTTGACCAGGGCAGTTGGGACTTAGGACATGGTATTATCCCTAAGCAATACCCATCCTTTTCTTTTTTTAAAATTTATTTATTTATTTATTATGTATACAATATTCTGTCTGTGTGTATGTTTGCAGGCCAGAAGAGGGCATCAGATCTCATTACAGGTGGTTGTGAGCCACCATGTGGTTGCTGGGAATTGAACTCAAGACCTTTGGAAGATCAGGCAATGCTCTTAACCACTGAGCCATCTCTCCAGCCCCCAATACCCATCCTTTTCATCTGCCCAGTAATGCCAGGGTGACTCCTCAACACAGTCTTCTGCTGGGTCCTCCCTCAGCTGCTGCCAACCTAGAGGGGAGATGGGGAATAACTGAGGCCACCAACCCAGTGTGGTACCCAACAAGACTCCAGGCTCACTCCTGGATTATCGCTGCCAGAGCCCACTGGTCACGTTCTAATACTTCTGTTTCTCCTAGCACAAAAAGAAGACAACTCCCTCCCTGTGGGAGAGCCTCCAAACCTCTCTCCCAGGCTGCTTCCCTCAGCAGCTCTGGTTATGACCTCCCTTTCACCTCTTCTGTTCTCTTATGCTTGCCCTGGCCTGCCTGCTCCCTCATGTCGACTGCTAAGAGCCAAAGATTTCAGTCTCTTTTTTTCTTTGTTTTTTCAAGTCTGGGTTTCTCCATGTAGCCCAGGCTGTCCTGGAACTCACTCTATAAACCAGGGGCTTCAAACTCAAGAGATCTGCCCGCCTCTGCCTCCCAAGAGCTGGGATTGAAGGTGTGTGCCACCACCGCCACCCCCACAGTTCAGCTATGATTTGTGGTGCTCACCTAGGACTCTGACAATGTTCACCTAAAGCTCTCTTGACCGTGTGACATCCTTCCAAGAGGCACAGGGTCGGGGGAGTATGCCTCCTGTACCTCAGGGCTTGGGGTCAGGAGTCTTGTTGCTCCTCGCTGATCAGCATCTGGTGAGCTACAACTGTAACAGTGCACACCCCTCCCGTCTGGCGAGGAACACCTCTGCTGTGGGATGCCCTTTTGTACACTGTGAATGTATTGCTTTTATTGGTTGATGAATAAAGACTCTTGGACCTAAGGCAGGGCATAACATAGCTAGGCGGGAAATTTAAGCAGAGGTGAAGAATCCAGGTGAAATCCAATACAGGTGAAGAAGGGTGGGGCCAGCAGAGAAATCAGTGAACCACAGGAGAACAGATAATGCCACGAAGCCCCGTGGCAAAACACAGATTATTATACATGGGTTGATTTAAATGGAAGAGCTAGCCAGTAACCACCTAAGCCATCGGCCAAGCAATTATAATTAATATTGAGCCTACAAATGACTATTTTATAAGTGGCTGTAGGAACCAGAGAGCAGGAGAGAAACCTGTCCAGAGGGGCAGGAACAGATAGGAAAACTTCTGGCTACACACACCCGCTAACATCAAGTGGTAAGTAAGCAGTATGTAGATCTTTTGGGGGTGGGGTAAGGGTGGCCTGCCACAGTGTCCTCTCTATCAGTCTTGCCCAGGCCCTTCCATGGGTAAGAGGTTCTTGGGAGGGAACCTGCCCCCTCCTGGCCTCCACATTCTCAGCTCGCTGGCAGGTGGGACGGGGAGGGGGAGAAAGCATAGGATGGAGAGAGGTAGGAGTCCTTAGCCTCAGGCCTAGGGCTCAGCACCTGTGAGCCCTTAGGCCCCTCCCGGATTGAGTGCCAGGGAACACAAGGTTGGAAACAGGATTGCCAAATCTGGCTGGCTTTGGAGGATAAAATTGAAATCCCAGCCCAGGCTCTTCGACTTCTTCCTGTGCAAATGTGTGGTCTCACCAAACCCTGGAAGACTGGGAAATAGTTGGGTGATGGGAAGCCTGGACCAGCTTCCTCTCCTGCTGGCCCCCACTTCCCTCCCACCTGCCTGTCTTCTACTCATTAATGCCTGGTCTTTAGGTTCTCCGATCATCTACGGTGCTTGGCCAGCTTCAGGTCCGGGCTCTGAATCCAGGTTCATCCTACGCAAGACAGGGCCCGACCCAACCCTAGAGGAAGGAGACTGCGGCCTGAAGGAGACTGCGGCCTGGCCCAGCATCGTCTGGGCAACGCTGGGGGCCAGCGGCTGAGTGCTGTGTCTTCCCACCCGCACCCCTCCAGCCCTGGTCTTTCGGGCACATAGTGCCGGCCATCCTTTTGTGCTCGACGGGATCTACAAATCATCCCACACTCTCGCACCTGTAACCCAGGCCCAAGTCCCCGCCCTGCTGACAAGCGGGCTCTGTCCTTGCCAGCAGCGGACTGGGCTGCTCACAGGAGCCGAGTGAGACCTTCCGCTCCTGCCTCCTCCCGCCCCCGAAGCTGTGACGGGAGGGACGGGCCGAGGGCGGGGATCTGGGCTGTACCCAACCGGCCAGGCGCCCGCGACGCGCAGCACTAGCGAGCGCTGTTACAGTCAGGGCGAAGTTTCCGCAGTCCCAGATCTCCGCACCCCAAGTCCTGGCAGCTCCAGTTCTCCGTGGCCTCCGAGGACTCTGAAACTCCCGCAGCTGCAGCCCTACGCATCCCGAGGTCCTGCACCTCTACGCGCCCACCATGCTGCTGAAGTGAGTCCGTTCGCGGTCGTGTTCTGTGAGTGGGATGGGTGTAGGGGAGCCGTGGGCTAGAGCCGGGAACCCACCCGGAATCGCGGCAGAGAGCGCCCGACGGTAGCTCTGGCTGCGGCCCAACAGAGGCGCAGATGTCTCCCCCCCCCCCCACCGCTCACCTGGACCTGCCTGCACGAACGGCAGGGGGCGGCGCGGGGCCAACCCGCTGCACCGCCGTCCAGACCCTGGCGCGTGGGCGAGTGGCTCGTGGGAGGAGGA